TTAAACCATGCCAGAGCCGAGTCACCAATCCCACAATCAAATAACTCATTCAACAGCAACAGGTGATTGACGCTGTCGAACGCTTTCCTGACATCAGCGAGCACTACGCCAACAACCTTCCCATTATCCAAATCTTTCATCCAGCTATCAATTGCAACAGCCAGGGCCTCCTCACACGAGTGATATCGTCTGTATGCAAATTGCTGGGGTGGAATAATGTCGGGATTCTCTCTCAGAAGAAGGCTTAATTGGTTGTACACGTGGTTCTCGAGGACTTTGCTAGCGATCGGTAAAAGTGAAACAGGTCGGTAGTTTCGCGGTTCAGAGCGGTCCCCGCCCTTGAAAAGTGCTCTCACGGATGCATGCTTGAAAAGCGCAGGAAACTTACTCTCCTCAATAGATGCCGTGAGAAGAGCACACAGGGAACCTGCCATCACTTCATGACATTTCTTGAAAAGGATCGGAGGCAACCCGTCTGCTCCGGGAGCTTTATGTGCATTGAGATTACGAAGGATTTGCTCGAGACTTTTCGATATTATGCCGCATAATTTTGCTGCGCTTCTTTCGATATTATGCTTGGCATTTCCGGGCGAAGACGATATTTTGCTCTGATCATGCTCAATGACAGCTTCAAAAACGCCAAATTTGGACCGAATTTTGGAGAAAATTTCAGAAAAACATCGAAATTTGCTCGGTTTTGCTGGGTTCACATTTTAAAGTGTGAAGATTGACCTCACAATGGGAAATCACGGTGAAAATCTCCAAAAATTCGAAATTATGCTCCAAATATGCCGGGCAATTCTTTTTCTAAAATGTTTCGGTATTATGCCAAAAGAATTGCCGGCAAATTTGGGCTGACACTAGCCAGCATCATCTTTTGAACTATGTCACGTGATGTGAAGTTCTGCCGTCGCAGCACAGCATAGAGAGGTTGTGCAGGCAGTTGCACACTTCTTGGGGTTATGTACTCTTGCCATCACTGATTGTAATGCACTGGACATGTTATCAAGGGAGTCGTAAACCTACGACTTCCTGCTGTATCTACGGTACTTGTACTGATATACGGAAGCCTTGCTTGGTAGTTTAAAGGGGAAGTTAAGGCAAAAATTAAAGGGGAAGTTAAGGCGAAAATTAAAATTTCACCAGTTGTAGTCTTCGGGGTGCTGAGTCGAATGGTCTTGGTCCGAGGAAGCTGAGACGCTCTCTTCCTACTTGAATCCCAATCGAACTCGCGCACTTCCACCGAAACTAGGTGACTGCGCCCTACGAGATGGGGATTTGTATGCAAAATGTCACTAAAAGCGCCATTTCGTTCTTATAAAAGCACCGATGACCGCGATTGGCCCATATGTTGTAGTATTTTGGACGCTGAGTCGACTGGTTTTGGCCCGAAAAGGCTGCGATGCAGCGTTCCTCCTTTATTCCCAATCGAACATGGTTGAAGAAGCGGTCACGTGCTCCTGCGTACACCAGTCACCTGGTCACCGTGCCTGCAGGGTACAACTTACTAGCCTGTTTGACCTTTTTTGGATGCACTCCTGCCACTCGAGTTGAACTCTAGTTGAACCTTGGTGTGAAATTTGTCGCCTGCTGGCGTGGTGACCAGGTGATTTGGGCACCCAGGAGCACGTGACCGCTTGTTCAGCCATGTTCGATTGGGAATAAAGGAGGAACGCTGCATCGCAGCCTTTTCGGACCAAAACCAGTCGACTCAGCGTCCAAAAGACTACAACATATGGGCCAATCGCGATCATCGGTGCTTTTATAAGAACGAAATGGCGCTTTTAGTGACATTTTGCATACAAATCCCCATCTCGTAGGGCGCAGTCACCCAGTTTCGGTGGAAGTGCGCGAGTTCGATTGGGATTCAAGTAGGAAGGGAGCGTCTCAGCTTCCTCGGACCAAGACCATTCGACTCAGCACCCCGAAGACTACAACTGGTGAAATTTTAATTTTTGCCTTAACTTCCCCTTTAATAGGTGTTGGCGGATAATGCCGGCATTATATCGAGCATTATACACCACCTGGAGCATTACGAGCATCATAAAGCATTACGAGGCCAAAAATGGCATTTTACGACTTTCTACATGACTGCATAGTAGATCTACACACATCGTCAATTCGTCATGTACAGATTCGTATCGGCTATAGCGTTGGTCTTTGATTGGCAACATTTATTACGCGATGTATTACTACAACTTAGGGCATGTTCGATTGGTAAGGATCGGGATCGGGATCCAGATCTCAGATCCCTCGGATCCTTCAGATTCAACTGAACACTTTATTTTGGACCTTGACTGTTGCCATGTTGAAAATGGCGCTCACAAGGCACCCTAAAGGGTGAATGTCGTACTCATCGCGTGCGTCGTACACAAAGTCAACAAGCTCTATCTCCATCCACGTGTGCGTACCACAATGTGTACAAAAAGGTAGTAAGCCTCTTGTACGGGCAAAGCAAAATAAAAAGAAGAAGAGAAGAAAAACTAAACTAAAAGGAAGAAAACTAAACTAAAAAGAAGCACCCATTTTGTTAAGCCAGGGGCTGGCTCACGCCTGGCATGAAAATGATAGATTGAGAACTAAAGAAATAATGACAACTGTCTAGCTGACCACCAGCTGTGCCTCTGCTCGGACCAGGTCGACAGGGGCATGGTCAAAGTGACGGCGGCGAATTGAGCGTGATCCACGGACACAGCGAATAGCAGACCTGGCTAGCGAAAAGCTTAGCATGCATCTGAGCCAACACACCATCTGGCTGTACGGTGCATGCCTCTTCACGGCTAAAGCACTTGCCAGCCTCTTCACCGTGATGGCAGCTTCGTGGCCCATCCCCCCACAGGAAGAGAAGACCAGAGGGGTGAAGGAACCATGCTCGACGTGGAGAATTCTCTCCCCATACGCACGCTTCTTCTCCCCTTCAAAGCTTCGGTACAGAGAGGAGAGGGATCTGGAGCGGTAGCTTGACGCATGGGGATAGAACACCCTTGTATCAAAGAATGCGTTTCTGCTATCCGTCCAGAACCCCCTCACTCTCAGGTCAGCGCGGGCATCCGGGTCGGTGTTGGCGGTGCGTCGCTGGAGGACCTCACCGGTGAGAGGTTGGAGCTTCGGCTCCACCTCAACATCACAATGCACCTCCTTCATGCATGAGGCGATAAAGTCGGTAGGATCGTTGTGACGCATATGGATGAAGCCGGAGAGTTTACAAATCTGCGCATGATCCACCGAGTAGCGTGCTCCACATGGGCAAGAAGCCGGCAGGTTGTCCAGTGGCCAACAATATCGCATGCGCACGTGGTCATGGAAGTCGGACTTGACGTCGAAGCAGAATCCGTGCTCAGCCACCGGTATTGTTGTGAGCGTGCTGGAGGCTCCCTTCTCTCTTGCCAACGCCATGGCCCGTTGTTGCGGCTCGGGCAGCCGAGACTGGATTTCGTTAGCCTTGGTGTCGAGGGTGGCGCGGTGGCGCTGTTGCACGGCAGTCTTTGCTTCATGGTCTTGTCTGATGCTCCCTATCAGGTCCGAGCCGCCTGTGGCGATCTGGGTTGCAAGATTAGCGGTGCACTCAACCGATGCCGTGTGTTTGCGGGAGGAATCGATGACGGGGTTGTCCAACGACAGACCTCCATATCGAGCTGGAAGCGCAACCATATCCATCTCACAAAAATGATTTTTACCCGCCATATACGCACAAAGGTCACATTTGGATCCGTTGGATCCGATCAACCCTGCTCCCCGAGGAGGGTTGACCGGATCCAAATCCGAAGGATCCGGATCCGGATTCGACCAATCGAAAGGGTGCGAATCCAGTGGATCCGGTGGATCGGGATCCCGATCCTACCAATCGAACATGCCCTAACAAGCGATAGACCACTGCGTACCGACCGGTCCGTACACATCATGCATGGTACCAAACAGATCGTGGCACGCAGTGCCAGGCGCAGTAGTCCTAGCTAGCTGTGGTCCAGCACAGTGTGGAAACTCTCGGAGAAACTTACTTCCTGTCCCGAAAGTCTATCTTCGGCCAGCAACTTTTTGAAGATCCAGGTAACAACGCCGAACCAACGAAACAAAATTTATGTGAGCCAGCATGGAACGGTGGAGGTGCGCACACGCACACATAATTCCAGACCTTACCCGGTTACAGTCCACAAATTAATGTCATACGACATGAACCTTGTACACATATTGCACGTTTTGCAGTCAATCCGTACCTTCAAGCGGACACAAGCTCCACACAAAAACCTACCAAGTGTGACCGTAGTACACTAAAAAAAAACACGGCTGTTTGTATTCGTTTGCATAAGCCTGATCTTTGTAAGCAGAAGAAACATGTAGTTGCGTTAAGATTGTTTTCGTAGGTGCACAGCATGATTGTTTGTCTCAATACACAGTTCTAGCGTTGTAATTAGTTCATCACCCCTGTTGCACTTAGCTCTCACTTCACTTCTATTGTCTCACCTTCCCTCATTCTATTTTAGCACTTTGTTTTGTTCTCGTAACACATTATTGAATGTATATTAATCATTGATTCAGCATGGTTACTCTTCAGTCACGGCTTTCCACTGATGATTGTGACAAGAAAATCGATTTTGGTAAACCATCATGACTTTGTTGTAGTGTGGGGATGACAGCAGAATTTGTTCTCTTTATAGCTATAATAATACAGCTCGCATAATTTATACTGTACATGTAGCTCATATGACAAATCAAATGAGGGTCATGCATCTGTCGACCCCCCCCCCCCCTTTTGTCATGAAATTTAATATGTGCATGCCAGTAAATGGGTCAGGACCTTTGGATAATGGTCAGGATGAAAACCGAACGTCTGTAGCGTCGAAGCAACTTAAATAGGGGCGGATTTCACTATTACCATATTAGATATCAGATTATTAATATTGCCACTATTATTGAACATGCGCACAACCGATCCTTGTCCAAATCAAACATTAATGGCTAGGTAGACGGCTAAATAGAAGATTAAAGGGACATTTGCTTACCATGCTGGTTGACGAGGCGTGCATCGTGATGCAGAGTAGACAATTTGTCCAAGTCCCCTGCACTGTCTGTGCTGGCCCCAACGGGAGGACCTTGTCAAACTACTAGCGACAGTGTACCCAGCAAGAGTGAGTTGTGGTAGGTTTTGTGCTCGCTTTTTCTGTCGTTCCAAGAGCACAAACTGCATTCCCGAACTATATTCCCTCTGCCGTACGGATAAAGTGCCACACATCAGTGACATCACCATGAACCGAACCAGATCTGCAGAGTGTGCAACTCTGCACCAACATGTTGCATGCAGCATACACCCTGTGCCATCCCACAGTAAACTCTTGTGTGGATAAATGTCATGCCGTTGGTTCACTGCCGGTGCCTTGTGTAGCGGCAGTTGTTTTGGTGATGCGCGGGAAATGACCATGTGAGTAGGCACCCGATGCAGCAAAGCAGAGCCAAAATCGAACAAGCACCCAGCCCACCAGGAATACAGATTGCCGGGAGCGCGCGTCGATATGATGTATTACGCCTGACAATTTGCTGGGGAGGGTCGATGTCGAGAACTCGACAATTTGCTGGGGGGGGGGGGGGGGGCAGGGTCGATGTCGAGAACTCGTACTACCATACTTGTGTGCGTACTTCCCGCCAACAATATACGCAGCATTCATTGCAGATGGGATTTTTCCGCCAAAATTTCGGTTTAGGAATTTTTTGAGTCTGCAGAAAAAGGATCTGACGCGAGGTACGGAGGACTCGATTTCGCACACGTACACGGCGGGATGCACGTGATCCGGGTCCCCGACAGCTTGCCGTGATACGGGAAAAACGAAATTACACGGCAGGAAAAGCAAATTCACACGGCAGGCCAGGATATGATGCGCACAGTGTATATGATGATTCGTCTTTATATATGTGTTGATTCTTCACAAAATGTGTTATTTTGCCCGTACAAGAGGCTCAGTTTTCCGTGTGAAAAAAAAGAAAAAAGGATGCGCACAGGGACAGTATTCGACTCGCACCTGTACCTGTAGTGCAAATCAGGGAATAGTACCGTAAAATCCCGCCAGGGCGCCCCTACCTCCTCGACGCTTCAGGTGGGGAGGGGCGGATGGGCGAGTCCTACTTGCCGCATTCAGTGCTACATGAAAAAGTACTCACACTACGAGGTGGTTTGGCTTTTTTTAACATGGTTGTAAAATGACGTTTTTTCAGTCACTTCTAGACAAGCTACATCCAAATGAATTGTTGCAAATGGAAGTGCTATCCTTCATGCCCGTTGTGTCCAAAAATGGGAATGATTCCACTTTGGAAAGTGTCTTGAATCATGTCCTACTTTCATTGTATTCTCAGGATTCAAATAATTGGTGTGTCATTTTTTAACAAATTTGTAAAATGGCATCACTAACTGGGATATTCGGTCATCAATGTTCTGAAGTTGATAGATATCACTTCAAGGGTTGCTAGTGGATGAAATTAATCTATCAACAGAGGAGTGAACTGCATTGTATGCTGCGAAACCCGTGTTTTTGCATTTGTAACTAGTGGCTGTGTTATACGGTGGAATTGGATAGATAGCATAGCATCGCAGCGATGTTTTCGTTCTCACAGAGTGTATTCCGTGACCTACTGTTCTTCATTACTGTCTCTAGTGATGGCAAGACGGCCTGACGTCGTCCAAAGGCCCTGCGGAAGCAATTCACTGCCCTCCTCGTCCATTCAGGGGCTCATTTTACACATTTTACACAAAATGGCAAAGCACCCACCACTAGTTATACCAACGTGGCAGGGAGAATTAAATTATATGCACCAAATTTTCTGGTCAATGTTGATCTACGATAAACTGGCTCTCATTTGCCACCACCCATGTTTCGATACAGCCATCCGGAGCAGAGAAACAGCCAGAAGAAAAGCAAATTTTACACATTTGTTAAAAAATGCCAAATGTTAAAAAAAGCCAAATCACCTCGTACGAAAACTGTTCGTGCATCTCGTACACCGACCAAAGGTCAAGAGCCAGGAGTCGTGCAGACCCGACAAAACGCAGGGTTTGTGCGATCCCTGGTCAGGAGGGTGGGCACTGTTGCGTACATTTCCAACGGGGTCGAGCACTAGGCCTAGCCCAAATTTGCTCGGGGCGCTTCGATATTTTGCCGGCAAATTTTGCCCTAGTACTTTCCATATTTTGCTTGGCATTGCCTTTCGTTTCCGATATTTTGCTCCATTTTGCTCCTGCTTTGTGGCAAAAATGGCTTCGAATGAACCGTCTACTTTGGTAAAAGTGGATGGTGACTCTAATGAGGAAAGCAAAACTTATAATGGTGTCAGTATTCCAGATTTTGTAGCATGATTTCAAATTTATGTACCCTTGACAACCTGCACGAGCTACTTCAGCACTACGTTGGCCCAATGAAACCAAATAAATTTGAATAAAATTGCCAAAACACACCCGGATCCTCTGTAAATTCGATATTTTGCTCGGAATTTGCCAGCAATATCTTTTCGTGGGAAATTTCGAGATTTTGCTGGAAGAATTGCCGGCAAATTTGGGCTAGGCCTATCGAGCACGCGTCTGCAGTGCAGTACGGCATCACAGACTGCGACAGAGTCATACGAGGATACAATCAATCACGTCCCTGATTGGAGAGACGGGGCGCTCTGGCGGGATTTTATGGTACTACACCCTGGTGCAAATCAGTCCACTGTATGCATTTCCACCCCCAGCATGCAGCCAGCCAGCCCCTCTCAGCTCACTGCACCGGGACCGTACCGGGATTTTTTAATTTTTTTTAATTTTTTTACTATTTTCACATAACCAGCTCGAAAAGAATAAGGAAAGACAGAGAGGTTCTGCAAAACGAAAATGTGTACGAGCTTTCGCTCCACGTCACGAAGTGAGAAACTTCGCACGAACTTTCGCAACTTTGGACGCGAAACTTGCAGGGAACGCGAAATGAACTTTCGTAGGAAGTTTCGTGAGATTGGGTCATGTCGTACGTGCACTTGGCGCGTGCAAACTACGAAAATGTGCAGAACACAAAGTTCGTGCGAAAATTCGTACACATTTTCGCAAAGCCTGTCGCGAAACTTCGTTCGAATTTTCGTTGTGCAGAACCTCTCTAATGGTACGGAGAATAGGGTCATGTTCGATTAGTCATCGGTGAGGACGTCCAAATAGCGGCAGGGTGTCTTCAGTTGTGTGCTGGGCAGGAGAGCGGAATTGAAGCTGCGATCCATGCTATGCGACAGGTGTCTGAGAGCCGTGAGTGCGAGTATGTCCTTCTTTCTGATGCCACAAACGCTTTTAACAGCCTCAACAGGGAAGTTTGTCTGCGTAATAGAGAGGTTCTGCTATACGTGAAACGTAGAGAAATCACGTAGAGAGCAGGTGTCTGGGTTAGAGTCTACGGCTTCGCGTGTTTTGGCTCCAGATTTCTACGCGGAGATGAGGTTCTCTACGTTGCGGCACACGCAGAGAAAATGCGTACGGATTTGCTGGGTATCGACAACTGCATGCAGAAAACTGCCAAATATGGAAGGGGAAATTCCCAGTACACATTCCACGTGACTTCTCTAGGTGAAACGTAGAGCAGAACAGCATTTCTTTACGTTACGGGAACGCGAAGAAAGTTCGCGTGATTCTTTGCGTCGCGTTCCCAAAACGTAGAGCAGAACCTCCCTAATGTCCAACACCTGTGCCCAGCGCTTGCTCCGATCGCCATAAACTGCTACCGTCACCCGGCCAGTCTGTTTGTCGGCGGGGAAACCATCCTATCCAGCGAAGGCACCACTCAGGGCGACCCAATCGCAATGCCCCTCTACGCGATAGCCACACTTCCACTACCGCAAGCAATCTCGTGTGACGATGGCACACAAGCGTGGTATGCTGACGACTCTGCGGCTGGTGGGAAGACGACGGGAGTCCGTAAGTGGTGGGACAGTCTGGTGGAGAAAGGGCCTTCATTCGGCTACTTACCCAACGCAGCCAAGTCCATCCTTCTCGTCAAGCCTGGGTACGTGGACGAGGCTAACAGAGTGTTTCAAGGCACTGACATCCAGATTCGGTCGGATGGTGTCCGCTACCTGGGGTCTGGGTCGCCAATCGGATCCACGGAGTATGTACAATTATAGCAATAAAAACTGCTTCATGGCAGTTTTCTAAAAAAGGTTATTGTGTTCTAGTCCATGGACCCCGTCTAAAAAGTAAGAAATTAACGAAATGTGATAGCCGAAAATTAAAATTTCACACAAAACCTCACAATAATCACACACAGGATGAAAAGCGAGAAGACCTTTTCCCCTCGTGGTGCTCTTTCCTATTCGTGCATGTTGGCGCAGTACTCGTACAAGTCACCCGTGAAGTGTCAGACCAAGATGGACTCTTGGTCAGACTAAACAAGTGTTGAAAGCAGTATTTTTTTAAACTAAGATCCTCAAGTGTTGTGATTATTGTGAGGTTTTGTGTGAAATTTTTATTTTCGGCTATCACACTTCGTTAATTTCTTACTTTTTAGACGGGGTCCATGGACTAGAACACAATAACGTTTTTTAGAAAACTGCCATAAAGCAGTTTTTATTGCTATAATTTCATTTGTTTTTTTAGCCAAGGATATTATAATAATTGTGTCACCAATAGAATGCCCTAACTGATGGCCTACATGTAGCGCCTCTACATGTGCATCATATCAAATTCAATACGGTATTATACGCACTGATGTGCAAGCCTTTTCTTGCAGAAAATGGCACTAGTCTTGCATATTCATGCTCTTCTGCAGGGGAATCATATGGGTAGTAGCGGTGATACTTTTTTTATACGCAGGTCATTCTGTGGATGTTGCTGTTGCAGAATTTCATGACTCTGTCATAAAATTATCTTGTCTTTCAGAAAATTCAGATGTCTGTAATGTTCTCCCGACGTCCTTAGTACGTGTCGAGAGCACACCAAAATACCAACTCAACACGGTCTCGTTGTGAGGCAAAGAACCCTTTTCATTTTCAGTGCAAGAACACAAATAGTCGTGAAAGACACATCATACAGCAAGACAGTCGCGGGTACTCCATATCTGGATCTAGTAGAGTACTAGAGGGTACACTACGGTGCATGAGACATCTATAAAGAGAAGAGTACAAATAAGAGAAACGAGCATGCACAATGGGT